GGCGACGGTTACCACTTACCATCAGGTGGGACGTCAGCTTGTATGCCATTCTAACCTACATGTAAAAGCCCCTTTAATTACTCAACCTGTCACTATGAAATTTGATATATATGAGTATACATAATACAGAGTACTTTTATCCCGCTTAGTAAACATATTCCGGTCACAGTAATTTTATCAAAATCAGTTTTTACATAAAAACAATTGGTTATGTCACAACCGAAGTTGATGTTTTTGTGAAATAAAATCTTAAATTATTTATATATTCACAAACATTAAGAATAAAATTATTGCAGCATATAATGTTCACTAAGAAAGTCGTGAGATTAACTCGTACTTAAAGTATGGTCTCGTATTAGAAGTATGTATCGTGTTTATGGCTTTTGATAATTCAAGAATTACGAACCAAGTGTCTAATATATTTCTTCATAATTTTACTTTACTTTAGTGTATCCTGTATTGAGGAATTTAAGTTGAATTTCAAGGCTTTCCTCCTTCCATAAAACACACATTAATAATGTGCTACGTGACGTCGACACATAGTTTGGATTTACGTGAATTGTTTACACTGCCGATTAGGTTCTTAACCTGTATGATAAAGTCTTATGTAGTCAGATGTTTATTATTATTTGTAAATTCCCAAAGGATATATATGTATACATTATTATTTAGTATACCCACTATATTTTTATACATATACCTATATAATGCCGTGTGGTACACCGGTATAGAATGCGCCACGCTTTTCTTTCTCGTGGGACTTTTTTTTTTATTTTTTTTATACAACTTAGAATGGCAAACAAGCTGACGGATGAAAAGTGGTAACCACCGCCTATATATATCTGTCGTAGCAGGTGATTAATAGAATTAAATGGTTGAGAGATGGGCAGCAGCGTCCAACAACAGCAACCAAAACTTAACCGCGGTTGCTAATCCACCTGCCAAGTGGGGCAATTGTTGCTAAAACGACCCCTTATGAGGAGGCTTATGTTCAGCAGTGGACAGTTAACGACTGATATGATGATACCTACTACATGTAGATTTTTTTATTTATATATATATATATATATATATATATATATATATATATATATATATATATATATATATATATATATATATATATATATATATATATAACATACAAAATGCGGATATATAAAGTTTATTATCTACAAATGGAATGAATAATCCTTAAATCAAACAATTATATTTATTGGACGAAAAAAGTGTTTCTTATACAATTTTTCACGCAGTAAAACCTTTATCAGATAAAAATGTTGTTTGCAAAACGAAGTGTATTTCCAATATTTTACTCTGGTTTTAGAAAATTTATAACTTTACGTACCTAGCGTTCATCAGTAAAGTTGTCACAGTATTGAATGCCAATACAAAACTTATTACTTTACGCCTTCGGCCACGATTCTCGTCATCATTAATAAACATGATTCGTGTTACTGTTGGTATGGCTTAGAATATTAACGATACTTTGCACATTAAAACTGTAAAGTACTATTAATTACAAGACAGTGTTCTATTTCACAAACACAAATAATCCTAAAATCACTTACAAGTTCTCAGAATCATTTACATTATTTATTTTTACGTAAAAATGAATAATATTAATTAAGAATTTAAGAATTTGCCTTTAAAATATTGGACCAACACGAGTGTATACTTTATTTAAAAAAGAGTGAAAACAAAAAAATATATAAATCTGTTCAGAATTAATGAAGATATAATATAACATGCAAAAATACATGCGATTTGAGTATCATCTGCTTTTTTAAGATATTTAATAAAGACATATTTTTTCTTTATTTTATTTTTTATTTTGATACACAGATTTCATAAAATACAGTAAAATTCTTACAACGACGTTGTTTAAAATGTATAATGACGTAGACGGAATCTCATCTTCCTCCATCATCGTTTTTATATTAAGCTTTTTTTTTTATACAACTTAGAATGGCAAACAAGCTGACGGTCCACCTGATAGAAAGTGGTAACCGTCGCCTATAGACATGAGCAGTACCATGGACATAACAGAGTGTACTGTTTCGCCCATGATACCCTCTATGCGTTGCCATTCCTAAGGACTCAGGTATTATTCCTCTGTACCCTGTAAATTCACGCCATATCCTAGTTACTAATAACTATGAAAGTTCATTTATATAATACGACCTATGAGGCCTTTCAGCGACCACCGTTTCAACAAAGATATGAAAATAAGTATCGTTTAATTTCTTCAATTTATTTATAAAGAAATAAAGTAAAAAGTTACATCGTATTTTTATTGATATCTGTTAATTATGCGAGTATCCTATTAATATAATAAATACGATTATTACCTTTGCACACACAAACTACTGAACGGATTTGAATGAAATGTGGTACACAAGTACGTTATAGCCTAACTTAGCACTTAGAATACTTTGTGAACTAATTCACGACGGCAGCGCCGCGGGATATAACTAGTATTATTATGTACTTCTGCACATTACATTGAATACATAAACATAGTTTATGCGCCATCCGGTGACGTTCCATTGCTGGTCCCTCGGAAGTCCCCATATCCGAATTTAATTGTGTGTACTTACTATATTTACAATAGTTCACTTGAACTGACGTGACATAATGGAAACTAACGGATTTATGAGTGTATCAACTGTTAGACCGGATAAAATATTACTGGAAATAATCGTGTTTTGTATGAGTATAAAAATTGTGAAAAATATTATGCCTATAAAAGTGAAAAACAACGCAGACTTTTATGGTCACTGAGTTATTTAGTAGGAGGTTGTCGAGTAACGTGCAATAATGTGTACACTTATGAATAATTTTAGTACCTATAATAAAGTCCCATTGCACGATGTGTGTTTGCTTTGATCTCTTAAACCGTTCAATCGATTTTAATGAAATTTTGTAATTCTGTATTCTTTGCTCTAACTTGAGAGATAGGATGGTATTAATTCTGATGTGAAAAAAAGGATCTGATAGATGGTGGTAGGGAGTAACACAATGTTTTCCTGGTCATCTAGTAATACTGTGTAATTATAGGTACACTTTAATAGGCTTAATCAACAGAAATAAAAATGATTAAGGCTTGCATAGAAGATGGATATGCTATCTTTGAAGAGACATAAAATTGCAAGAGTGCATAAAATTAATTGTCGACACAAAACTAATAATAAAAAATAACTTTAATATTTATGACACTTTTCCTGCTTAGGATTGGAACATCCTCTGTGTTAGATAAAAAGAGCCTATATTATTCTCAAAACGAAGTCTGTTCCGAGCAAACTAAGAGATCTCACAGTATCTGAATATTGTACTATAGACATTTTTTATTATTTCAGTCATTAATTGTCCACTGCTGGATATAAGTATTTAGTCTAAGAGTTTTGCTAGTAGTTGCCCTGTTTGGCAAGCGAGTTGGCGAGCGCAGTTAGGCTTTTAGAGTTATAGGTTATATATAAAAGGGACATAGACATATAAATTCTTATAAATTCATCTCTAGAATAACTTCTAAGTTATTCTAAAGATATATATAATATATATATATATATATATATATATATATATATATATATATATATATATATATATATATATATATATATATATATATATATATATATATATATATATATATATATTATCGTAATACTACAGAAATGAATAATGTTAACATACTTACTACTAGATATATCTAACTAAAGCCTACACATAAACTTACTATTTCTCTATAAAAATGTAGTAAAATTATATATCTATCTATACATATTGGATATTCCTGCCGTACTTTAGAAATGATGTTTGGCTGTTCTGACTATGTTATTACCTTTTTTGATATTTCCTATTTTATTGGTAGTAGTTTTATGATACATAAAGAAACTAGCTTGTCATAAATATATTAATCTCATAAATCTAATGTATTATATTCATAACTCTCAATTTAAAATTACTAACACTACATAAGTACATAATATGTATGTATTGAAAAATGGAGATCTTATAGCTCTCATATCTCAAAGCTATTTTAAGAATGGATGTCTGTCTTAATCTGTACTTTAAGAAGTACTTATCTACTTTATTGTAAGAGAATTGTATTAAATAATTATGTAATTGAGTAAGTAAGAATACTTCCTCAAAATGTAAAAACTAGACCAGAATATAGTCAAGGGAATCATGAATTACAGCTTGACATGTTGAAGGAGAATATAAAGAATAATAGTATTAATCTTTAGATGGTATTTCAATAAATGTATTGTTCGGTAGTGATACATAGTAGTCATTAGAGAATACGATGAAGTAAATACATCACTACTGACAAATTATCCTGAAGTATATCGATTCAGACGTTAGCCATTTATATGTTTTATAGAGAAATAATTCTAAACAGGTTATTTGGCTTCTTTTCTTGACGTCATGTATATGAATTGTATATGAAAATGCTTAGAAAAATACAGCCAAGTCAAAATTATAGTTTAATATATTTCAATCAGTATTAAAGTCGTGAGTGTATTTATTTTATAACATTTGAATGATTTGCCAGTTCTCTCAACTCTTACTATTGGAATTCAAGTTACATGAAAATTATATAGGTGAATAAAACTTTTAGTACTCACAAACAATTCTAAATGTAATAAGCTAATAGTTCCAGATCGCTTTGTTAAATTAGTTCTCTCTTATTCTTTACTTAGTCGTTAAATGGTTTTATACAGAATTTTTCACTTTGTATCATATTATTTTTGCGTCGAATTTAGATATTACTAATGTCGCAAACAAAAAGTTCAAAATGTAGGTGTGATGTTAAAAAATATTTTCATAATTGGGTGATATAGGTGGTTTATATATCATAACATAAAGAAGAATAAACTTGTGTTATTATGATATTCTGTTTTGATACTATCAGGTTTTATGGCAACAAAATACATGAATACATTACAAACAACAGTCAGTAAAGGATGTCAATTAAATACGTCATTTATACTCACTATCATATTGAGAAGACAGAGCTTGTGCTTTGGAGACAGGTAACGTTGTGATGGCAGCGAATCCGCAGAGGGCCAATACGAATGCACAACTTCGAGACATGGCTGAAACAAATAAGGAGGACTTTATAGCAAGGAAAAATAAAGTTTGTATGTTCAAAAACTTAAATAGAGAGAGCTTTTGTAACAAATCGTTTGCATGGGAACGTTTATCCTAGTTATGGACGTAGTAGGTTCCACTCGTATTTCCACTTTATATATTAAATTATATTAGAAAATTATTTAATATTTAAAAATGTTACGTAATGGGTTTACCAAAAAAAAAAACATTGCTACGAATTTTTTAATTAACCTATAAATAAAATATTATTGAGGTTTCAATGTTTTATTTAGCCATTTTTATGTTTTCTGCAACAATTCTATCTAATTCTATTCTATTCAAATTATACTTTTAAAATTCAACTAAAATCAATTACAATTACCATAACACCAATATAATAATAATTATGTATTATTAAAGTAGGAATATACCTAGTTTCAAACTTAAACCATAACTGCGGTTGCCAAACTGCCAAGCGCGGTAACTACTGGCAAATCCCCCAATAGGGGTAGACCTATGTTCAATAGTGGATAGTTAATGGCTGATCATGACGATGATGATGGTTTATTTCTAGCGTAGATCAATAGAGCTAAATATGGGGATTAATTTGCCAGAGGGAGACTTTGTACAAAAGTCAATTGCTTGGGTACCTCTGTCCCATTCGTGTCTCTACCATGAAGCAGTTGTGTTTGCATGGCTGTGTTTCGGTTTGAAGGGTAGGATATGGCGTGAATTTACAGGGTACAGAGGAATAACGTATCATGGGCGAAACAGTATACTCTGTTATGTCCATGGTTTTACTCATGTCTATAGGCGACGGTTACCATTTTCCATCAGGTGGGCTGTCAGCTTGTTTGGCATTCTAAGTTGTATAAAAAAAATGGGGGTTGCTAATTCATTTTCAATCTATATTTTTTTACATATATATACATTTAAGTAATTACAAATATTTTTACATGTGTATCGAATTAATATTATTATCGAAGAACTTATATTTAACATATATTACTCGTATTCACTATATTCATCAAATATACCTATAGTAAATATATTAGTTTCAAAATGACGTATCATAAGTCTGTATCAATTAATCATCTTTATTCATATACATCTGTTACAGACACTTATGAAACGTTTATTTTATAATGTAATAACTCTATATGAATAAAAATTGTTTAGACTTGATTTAGTTAGTAAATATGAGAAATCCCTCCTTAGAACAAGTGCACCTGTGTTACAGTAAAGTTGGTTTTTCTCAGCAACATTTTTATTCATATAGAAATGTATAGCAATAAACAAACTTTCTATTAGTATTATAAATGTGAAAGTTTAAAAAGAAATGAAAGTTTAGAAAGTAGTTATAAAACTTTGTTAAACGACTGACCATATTTGAGTGGGCAAACCAGAAAGCTATAACTAAGATTTAATATACTTTTCTGCTAAAAGACGTTGCTAATGCTGCGGATTAAAGCGAATAATAGTAGTGAGCACGAATATAAGAATAAAGCTCCAAGAAACAACCATATTGTTATGTATTGGACCTTATATTTTTCCAAATATTTTATTTGAAGCGACAAATTTGTTTTTGATAGTGAAGCATTTGATTCTTGGTCTGAAATATTTATATTTGTGTAGGCTTTGTGAATGTGAATTTCCATACGTATTTGAGTGAAGGTCAAAGGCAAATATTTGTTAAAATGAAATGGCCTTAGTTGTGTCATGTTTTATGCAAAACATTGTGTGTAAAAATAAAGATTATGCATGACATGTTTTACTATTCTTAGTCGGGGTATTTTGTTAATAAATTTTACTAAATTGGTTTACTCTTGATTTTAAATTTCTCTATCAATTTTATTACATCAGGAATATAAAAGTTTAACTATAATTACTGTCTGCAGCTGATTTTCTACTGTAACTATATATTCATAAATAATAATACGATATAAATTTGAGGTATAAAATCATAATTTCTTTATGATTTCGGTAGTATTTAAAAATCAAAATTATGTTGCAGGTAATTTAAAATAAACTTGGTATTATCTACATTTATATTAACTAGACAGTTTACTAGATAGATTTAAATAATTGCACGTAAAAATACTATTCCATTATTTTTCTTATTCTCAAAATATATGTCCTTTTTAATTGCATAATTTTCAGAATATTTAATACTTAATGCTTTATTACTGATGACCGCAGATAACCCTACAGATATATCACTCGAAACCCGCGGAAGTGCTTACATCATATATAATATAATCAGTGCCGCTGATTCTACAAATTTCGTAGCGCCTCGTAGCTCGTGCGATCAACAAGTAGGCTAATGTGCAGTAGCGGCGCGCCAGGCAGCGTGATATGCCGCAGTTGTGACGTCATCAATCACGCTTATCATCACACAAGTGACAATGTCACATGGGTTTGTAGCCTCGCCTCTTTGGTAACTTTTACGCCAATCTTTCGACGATATATTCAGCATTTCATAAAGATTGCGTAAATGGTACAGAAAAGCTTAATATAAATATATTTTTTCTTGGATAATATTTTAATATTGCTTAAAATGAAGCTTAATGCTTCATTTTAAGCAATATTAAATTTAAGTAATATTTAATTTAAGCAATATTATTATTAAATCGTATCATAACTATTTTTAAAGTATTGATTTGATATAAGTATTTCATCTTCTTACCCTTATCCCAATAATTTGGGGTCGGCGTAATATGATTTTGTCCATATTACAAAAAGACTTGGTTTTTAGTTTTACGACCGGCCACCTGCCTGACGTCAACCCTCTTTGATATAAGTATTTATAAACTTTTAATTTTGGGAAAATGAAATTTATAATACTAGTAATTTCTAGAATACAACACTGGATAAACGACGAAATGTTTGCATATAATTTATATAAAATACGTATACTTATTTATTTTTAAATTTAAAAATAGTCATTATGCATTAACATGTAGATTTTCATGTAACAGCAGCATCAATCAAACAATTATAAGATTGTCTTACACAAAAAACTATTTAAATTGTGGCTAAACCAGTTATTTTGATTTCAAAACTAAACAACTGAACCGATTTTGATAACATTTTTATGGAAAAGTATATCATTTCAGATAAAAAAAATTCAAATCGGTTTATAACTGACGGAGTTATAAGGTAACAAACATAAAAAGGTACAACCGAATTAAGAAACTCTTAATTTTTAAAGTCGATTAAGAATGGGACCAATGTGGATGTAATCATAACTTAATCTATCTTAACTAAGTAAATAAAATTATTATTAAAATCCGTTCCGAATTGATAATGATATAAGGAGAATAAATATCCTTTTTTTGGAAGTCGCTTTAAATTAGATTTCGAAGTAAAACAAAATAAGTCGTCTCCATAAATATAAACAAACCGCTCGATGTGTGCATTAGCCAGCCTTGTTATTGTCAGTGCATAATATGGTTTCTGTCGCATTTGATCATTAATCATAACATTAAATTAATATTGACTTATCTGACTTTGGTACTTTTTAAATCAACATAGGTATTCTTATTTATAAAGATCGATCTTTAATATTAGATATACTTTGACAACTGTGACACTCACAGAGCCATGATTGATGTTGTTGAACACGAAACCCTTTTAGAAATCACATTATCATTAAATAAAAAAAAAAAAAAACACGTGTATAATCTGATGTTAAAATAATCTATAGTAAGTAACCCTTTTATATATCCCATTATCTTTAAATAAAAAAAAAAACACGTGTATATTCTGTTTTATAAATTTAATAGTTTTATTATGTGATTTATTAATATTACTCTAGCTTTTACCCGTAACATCATCGACGTGGCCAGAATATGTTTACTGAGCGGAAAATAGTAGCCTCAGTCCTTCGCCATACGAGTAGTAACTATATCAAATTTCATAGTGGTTGGTTAAGCTGTTAAGGCTAAGATGTAACAATTAAACATACTTACTTTCATATTTGTAGTAATAATATTTATACTTGTATATTGTTTTTTTTATCCTTATTATAAAAAAAAAATATATTTTTATTTCTAGAAATTGTTTTCTCGAATTTTCTTTACCTGCCTACACAGAGTGAAGTCGAAACCATTAGCATACTTTTAAGGCAGTGTTCTTGATAGCTGGGCGTATAATTCTAATAATAAAATAAATATAATAGACAAAAATTTCTCGTAATTCTTCGACCCATGTTTGTTTAAGAAAATACTCAGTTTCACGGCCAGAATACTAATTATTTCCATTTCAACCTGTATGTATATACCTATGTATGTCCAGCAAGGATGTACTCAGATTCAGTTGTACCTAAACCCACTCTATGATTTATTACCTTATAGATAAATTTCTTAATCAAGTCGGATTAAATAACATTTTTCAAATACCTACATACTCTTTCTTCCACTAACTTTCCTAGCGAAACTATACCGAATCGTTAGTGTACCTGTAAAAAAATTTATATCTAATATTACGTACTACCTAGAAGATCTAGCTTCGTTTGGGAGATAGCTTTTTCATTCCGACCACGTTATCTTGATCAATTTACCATCCCCCAGAAATCGTGTATCGCGGATATTTTATCAAATTCGTTTCTACTCCTCACGGATGCGATAATGCATAAATTTTATATATATATAAATCTTATTTATTGTAGCTCCAAAAAATATGTCCTCATTCGAAATAAGAATTCGAAAAGAACATGTTTTTCTATATCCAATTTTTTTACGTTTGTTACGTTTTGTTACGTTTTTCTATATTGAATATCCAATCAATGACAATATTGTATCTAAAATAATCACGCCATTGAATTTACGAAAATAATATAATATATTTGTTTCGCATAATACGATTCTCTGATTTCCAATATTAGATAGGTAAATGGGTAATAATGATTACTAGTGGTTGCCCCGTAGTCGAAATTCGACCATAAAATATATTGTAATAAATGAATTTATTATGGTTTTGTTTGATATTCAGTAAGTCTACAGGA